GTTTCATCACCAAGAAAATTGTTCTGAGTTTTACAACAACTGCTACTTCTAATTACTTACTGCACAGTTCGCGTTGCTTAATTGATCTTTGATCATTTTTTCAGATGTGCTTGCCGCAATGGAGGTGAATCAAAACATTAGTCAATTTGATGATTCCAAGCTCTTTTTGAAGTTCGACCTAAAACGTGCTTTTCTCCGGATACCGCTCAATGAAAATTCTAGTTAACTGAATGCTAATAAAACTACAAATGTTCTATTCCGCCATAACTTTTTTCACTTGATTTAATGTGTAATCGACTATTTTTCCGAACGTTATCAATTCTGGTGTTTCCAGTTAGGACGCTATCTCAGTTTATCCACATGGCATCATCGTACACGCACCCGGCAAGGAATTTCCTGGTATATGTTTTTCCCTATGGCTTGAGCTCTTTGATGAACTTAATGTGACTAAAATTACTAATGAGTATACCTTTTGAACACTTCAATTTTCCTGGTTGCGTTTTATTGTGGGCCAACATAGTTTCCGCCCTGATCGGACTTGTTTTCCGCCTTATCTAATGCACTTTCAAGTGTAGTGACACTGTTTTGCATTTTGAACGCTATTTTCTTTTCTCACGTGAAGTCCCTATTTTGTTTGATTGTCCTCTATAACGATTTCCAATGTGGCATAATTTCCGGTGAGTCTTATCATGCGCTTGCGCTCTGTAAATCTTGACACTGCAGGTTGCATACAACTGTCAAGTAACGTACTCCATTGATTGCCTGATTGAGTTCAGTATTATTCTTGATTTATCCGAAATTTGACCACAAAAGAGGTACAATTTTTTGCTCGTCTTTCATGATCTGGTATATTCAAGTAATTCAGTTTTCGTTCCAAGATAAGTTGTAATGAAGACCGCACATCAGGATACCATAGGACATGTAGGCTTAGAAATACCTTTCGGCAGAAGGACTGTGTAATTAAGTCATAGATAACAGAAGGCTCCGATTCAGAAAGCACTACGAGTTGGGAACGAAGAGAACTGATTATATGGAGCTGCTCGAACTCTGGAACGTCCATATGAAATGCAGCCATGGCTTCTAGGTTGACGTTGCCTTGATTAGATGGAGGCGTGAGAGGGTGCCTACTACGAGGTTATGTTCTAATGATTGGTGTGATATGTCCGCAGTGAACTGAGATGTGTTGTCAATTTGGCGAATCTCGCATGATGAATAACATTTGGATCTTGACCGTAATGTATACATCAGTGCATTGTGTTCAGTGAACACCGTCAGTGCATGAATTTCAAAAACATTCGCATTTAACTCACAGTTACCTGTGAGTAGTGGTATGGGATAATCAATAAATACCATTATCCCACACTAATACTCACAAGTAGTTGTGAGTGAAATGCAAATTATCAATCTGGCCCCGTAGGTTCGTTGGCAAAACAAACCGTTATCTACATGGAAGTCCTGACTTAGTGAGAGGCTTTCGATTTTAGTTAACAGATTATCATCAGTGTCTCCGTTCGTTGCTGTCGGGCCAAAATGAACTGACTATCAATAAAGATGACACCTGAACAAGCATGAATTAGCAATTGGTTCAGCCATGGCATTAGCTGCTCGGCACAGTGGTAACAAATACACCTTCCGTGCGATGGGTCCGGAGTTCAAATCCCAGATGGGAAGGTTGATACGCACTACTGATGAGCTTTAATAAGGACAAAACTCGAGTCTAGGCAGTTCAAATCAATAAATTTCAAAAACATGTCCGAAATTGTGTACTCTCGGGTTTGTTGTCGGTCTCCAGCTAAGATGTTATACGTAAACTCCATGGGGTGGGAGGGCGCTTACACAAGAATGCTAACAGCTGCCAGAAACCCTGAACTTGTTTTTGTAACACTGCACTAACTGCTGTTCAACATTCCGCTGTGGGCGCTGACAAGGTTGCAGAGGGGCCAGGGTGCTCAAGCAGACAAACGAAAATGCAGCATTTTTGTCTCGGGAAAATCAAACCCCTGATAACGCACATGTAACAAGTTAGTAAGATAGCGTATGAGCTCTGCACAGTAGGATCTAAATAAATGCAAATATTCTGATGTCTTATTTTAATCTCAACAAGATAATTTTAAAATCACCAAGAGTATCATTTTTGCAGTTTTACCTGCGATAATCAATCTCCATTGTTTACTCCTTTCAAACAACATGGACAGTTTACTGTCTGTTATTTTGCCCTGTTTCATTAAAAAACAACCACGGCGTAATATGCCGGGTACTAGTAGTGTTTTAATTCCAGAAGGCGGTGCTATTCGAGGATAGTCGTTTATTGAGGATCACAAATGGGACATCAGTAATTTGACAGACATGACACAGCAAATCTCATCAGAAACGTACCATCGCAGTTCCTGGTCGCACGACAGGTGATGAACGAAGTAATCCATAGTTATTTTCTGATATACAGCAATTTGCCTCGGTGATCTTAATTTTTGATCGTCTAGAGCAATCACCAGTTATGTTACCTACTACTCGAGGTGACATCGTCAGTGCTTGTAAAGTGGCCTTCACAAACACTGACGATTTCACCTCGGCTGGTGATGAAACGTTTGAAAACAAATGGCCAAGCCCGGCGAACAGGCGAAGTGGAATTTAGTTCACCTGAGCTACGAGAACCGATTTTCAGTACTTTGTGAGATAAGGTAAACTTAATAGAAACAAATTTTAGGAATTTATCTATGAAAATGACGTATCGGCATGAAACAAGTATTGCAATTTAATTTTGTCAATACTCTGTGGACTCCACCATTCGTGACCAATTGTTTTTGGAATGAAGACCACCAGTTGGGCAATCAAATCACATTTGTCATTTTTCTCCAGTAAGTGCCGCATTCTGGTCTCTGACGTCTAATGTCAATTTAGCTTGCTTATCTCTGTATTCAAAACTGAGAATACCAATTCGATTACATTCGAGCTGTTGGGCAGTAGCCAAATTAATTCGACTTTGTAACATTCCCATTCAAAACTGTATGAATATGAAGAAAAAGTTTATTATGTAATCTCGAAAAATTCTATGGTAAACCTCAAGCAGAATGAGACATTGCGTTTATTCTTGGAGGGATAGGTTTTTCGCAAATGCGTTCATCGCTGCAACACATTTAACAGCATCCAGAGACCAACAGCTACTCTCAGGTACAAACCGAATGTATTCGTCGTCTTGCTTTGATGTGGTCGGTTTTCTCCTTCCGCATTGTTGTCTTGCTAGCAAAAATTCCTTGATTATGCAATAGATTGTGCTTATTGTTCATATCAAAGCACAGGCGGCACTAGTCGCGCACTGCGAAGCCGGATCTATGTGCCTCTCTAATACAGTATATTGAAAATGTTTGTTTTTCTCTTCCGTTTTTGTCATTGTGACATTGCAGAAGGCCTATTCAACGAGCCGCACACTTATAAGTCGACCTCTGAAGGCAAACTTCCACGCTTTGTGGAAAATGTGTTTACTTCCGTCAGGGCGAGGTTTTACGTCAGCAGTTTATAGCAACATAATTTCTCAAGCTAACTATGATAGCCAGTGATTAGTTATCAGCATATTTACATTATTGCATTGAAAAAGATGTTATTCAGTACATGTGTAGTGACCAGAATAAAACCCCGATGAAACAGTAACCATGTATTAGAAATAACAAAATTCCATGCTACTCTACACCAAACAGCTTCTCACTGTGAATTTTAACTTTCGAAATATCACAAATTTTGCCTTATCCCTTAAGATCGAATCAATCCAAGTGGTGGTACACGAGAATCGAGAATATTGCATTTGGAGGTGAAATTCGAAACAAATGCTCACCCCCATGGTTATCGATCTACAACTATAATACTGGGAAACAGAAATATATTTCTCACTTGAGGATCAAGTTGCACGAGTTTGATCAATTCCTGCTTGAGTTCTACAAGTAAAAGTTAGACAATTCCCTCTTTGAATATAAGTATAATTAAAATCTCCCGCTCATACTACAACTAACCAATGTTTCGCAGAACAACGTCCATGGGTCACATTACAACTAAAGGTCCTTGAAGCAGCATGCAACTAATTCATCCTTATGAGAAATTACCCTTTGGTGTGCATCTGTGTGATTTCCGTTCTTTACCACAGGCACAATTAAAATATCTCCGTCACGTGACATCCGGTCAAAAGGAAGCAACATTTCATCCTACAAGACGCGTTTAGGACACTCCATAAAACAAACAACTCTAGGGTTTTAAAATACGTCGAGGCAATAACCATTCCACTGCGTAAACAGTATGAGTGGCTTATCTTTTTGGTGCTATCGTTGTAACAAATGGGGTTGGAGATTGACTCTGATTGCAGTCTTCTTTGGTCCATGGTCCTGTAGTATGTACGTGTACCGATATAGCTAACTGATCCGGGATACATTTTAGAAATCTGCATTTCCGGTTTCTCACCAATAAATGATATGGAGCTAATACAACTCTATCGTTGAAAACCGAATACCATGATCTATACCATAGAAATAGACTGCGAGCAATAATCCACTCTGACTGTGTAGAGAATGAAAAACAATTGAGTATACTATCGTACAAATCAAATCCATGGTACTACCGTTCTTCTTTGTGTATCTTATCTCCAAAGTAAATTTAACCTCCTCAATGTTTACAGTAATATGGTATGATTGATTCTGTACTCATCAGATAAAAACTTTCAAGTGCCCTGATTCAATCACCAAGCCGCAACACGAAGGAACTGAATGAAAAAGATGAATATTTATTCAAGCATCGGGATTGTTTTTTTTTAAATTCACCACTGTGATGTACACAAAATTGTACTCAACAAAAATGACGTGAGAAAAGGAGAAAAAATCGCGATTGACACCAGAATTTCACACAAACATGATATGATCCTATGAATTCACAGATCTTGTGTTTCATCTGAGAAGAACGCGTTTGAGCCCAACAGTTCACAGATAAGTAGTGATTCTATTAAAAATGAACTCGAGATAAAATCACCGAATATCACATAACAAGGCGGTGCCACGCATAATCCAGTGTTCCGGAGGTTTTGTTGTCGGACAACGTAGGTACAATGATGCGATGTAGGTGAGATCGGTTCGCCGCGGTTTTCGATATACCGGGCAAACGTACTGATTAGCGAGCATGTCTCTCGGTATTTCCTTGTCCTTCGAGATATCGATGGCTTGAATGTGAATCACGGGCATTGTTTCATACAAAACTTTGGGTTTTGCTTCACTTAAACGTAAGTTGCGTCGATCAAAGTCCGCACCTTCTATGAACAGTCCATAAATGTATGCACCCTCGGTCGGAGCACGGACACAATCTTCGCGCATGTGTTTTGTCACCTCGTTCCACAAAACCACTGTATCCAATGCCCAACCCGGATGACTTCGTGTGACTTCTTGTCGGATGGCAGTGAGAAAACCTTGTTGATTGAAGAAACCAGTCATCCAGAAACAATTTGGTCGCCCGTTCCTCAACCAATCAGCGAATTGATGGTTCCGTTCAATCAGTTCAGTGAACCAGAAACCCAGAGTGGAAGAGTCCCAGGACAGCTGAATTGGGTGGGAAACAGATATTACAGAACTAATCACAACAATTTTAGTCATCAAGTGCTAATTTAGTCACTATTGCGATAATTACAATGTGCTCAAATTATCATACATGAATTCAGCTTGGATTTCACTGAAAAAACCGCATGTCATGATTCCTGTTATAGAAACGATGAGAAGAGGAAACACAAACCAGCCGTTGGTGGTTAGATTTTGGCTACCTAGTGGGCCCTTCTTGGTAAAAGTATAAAGCGAGTATATGCTACTTCATGTAAATGAAACGGACACGTTATACCCTACGTCAGATTCACAGAACCAGTAACTTTGCTCATAAACGCACCCGTGATAATTTGACAGATCCTGCAGGCGCAATGGGGTATGACTGGAATGGACGTCTTCGAGACAATTCATATTGTTATTCTGCAGGCTGATTACGAAGTGGATAGGTCATTTCATCATCCAAGCTAATCCAAATGTGGCTTGAGTAAGGGCAGATCATACACAAACAAATTGAATTGTGGCACACAGTGTACTATTGCAGAGACGAATTCCAATTGATTCCGTTTTGGCCGGTAGGCGAAAGTAGATTTGCTTTGATAGCCCACACCCACACACACCCTCAAGTGTGGTTCATTCCAGTTAGGTGTGAGAGTTATGTTCAATGGAATAACACCTAATCGGTTTTGTGTTCAGTCATGCAGTGTGACTACAGATTCGTTCGGACAAGCACCTGGGAGTGTGACCTGTGAACAACCTACTGGATCATTTCAGTCGATGAAGAACAATAGCCCCCCAAAAAAACACAATGAACACACTGAATGACATTCGTGACATTTGTGAATCATTGACAGTTGGGGGTGCATTTGTGTGATGGCCACGGATTCGAGTGAGAAAGTGGTTGAAAACACATTTGTCATTTTATGATCGGGTATAGGAGAGGAGGTTGGAGTGGGGTGGGGTGGGAAACAATTAATTTCGCAATTAGTTGACTTCATCAAATCAGTGTTGAGAATATGATTTTCGCACTCCATCCATAGTGATTGCGCCAGGGTAAAGAAAATTCAACGTGTGGAGAAAACACAGGGGAGTCTGTGAACAGCTTAGACATAGAGCCCAGTCTTCAAGGCGGAAGATTTCTGTTCTCTTCATCTACCTTCCGTAAAACCAAGATACAACTGGAAGCAACAGCCCAGAACAGCACATCATAGGTTAGATCCCTTCGAGAAGGCCGTGTTTAATAGAGCCAAAAAACTGACAAACCCGAAGGCAAAGTGGTAAACATGAAAATAATTTGCCCTGTTTATGTGAAGCACAAACAACTTTGTGCGACTATTATTGGTTGGTTACCTTGGTCCAGCTAGCTGGAATCCGTGCATCGTACATGCAATCCAATGCCTCGCGTAGTGATTCACTCATTACAATTGTCCCATCAATGGCCAGTTTCAAATCAGTCAAACACACGCGAACCGTGGATAGCAGACGCTGTATGCGCTCCAATTCTTGACGCAAAAATATGTTCATTGGTTGTAATGCACCCATCTGGCTCAAACGTTCGGTCACCTCGAATGTAACATAGTCGGGGGGCAATTTCTGTAGCATTTCGTCGGCCATTCGACGAACCGCATCCTCTCGTGTTTCCCCGGCTCCCGCACTGGCATCTTTTGGTTGGATGTTTAAAATGCAATCCAGAATTTGTTTGGCTTTCTTGCTCTGGTATCTGCAGTAGGGGTGGAAGGAGCAACGGTTAGTGATAAGAGGTTTCATTTCCACAAACTACTCAAACGAGCTTAGATCAATCTTAGTAAAAGAGTAAGATTGGGGGAATATAGCTATGAGTGAGCATGATGTATACACATATCAGCAGTCGTATTCAAGGGAAGTAGCGTGTAAATAGTCTTTTTGCACTCCAGGCAAAGAGTAGGACTTCTTAAACTTAAAAAAGACTAGATGTTTGTGTCACTATTGAGCCACCTAGATATAGCCCAGTGTAACGCATTCACCTACAATCGATTCAGTGTGAATGCATGATAACTGCGTCTGGACAAACTTTATTTCATCAGCAAAGACCCGCATAAAACATAACCGCATTCTTTATGATAGGAAAGTAATAGTTTTCCTGCTATTATCCACTAGTCATTCTTGAATAAAACCAAATATTTGTTCGACATTTTAAAGAAACAAATGAAAAACTGAAAGCATTTTAAATATGAAATAGCCCGAAATATACATTAAATACAAAATAGCCACCACTTCTTTTTGGCTGTCATCCGTCCGCAGAAAGAAACTTACGCAATGTTCGCATTTTCATGCAAGCCGAAGATTATTGGTGAATCGAAGTTCGGCAACTCATTGATCCAGTCCAAAATCTCTGATAGTTTGGCAAGTTGTGGAACGGGAAATTCGCTGGCAAATTGGAAATCTGGTGAAAACAAACCCTCATGGAACCAGGATTGGCAATACGTGTTCAGTAACCGTTGATCAAAGTCGTCAGTCACTCGACCGCCGTATTGAATTTCTGCGAGCATGTATCGTACGCACTTCCATTCAATGCTCTATAAAGCAAACAGCAAAAATTAACCTGAGCAACATCATCAGGTTAACAAGCCGACTAAAATCTCTCGTGCTCCCCATGCGTACCTCATAAACGGAAGTATTTTGTTGCCTGAAGAAGTTATGTAAAGATCTCAGACCCAGTTCAATACGTATAACCGAAATCATTTCCTCATTAAGAATTTGTCAAATCACAGAAATCGGCGGTCTATTTCGTTATTGCATTTTATGGTTGTCATTTACGGAAGCCATGTAAAGCACTCATGCATTCGATACCATTAAAATTTCGGTGTTCAATAATTTAGCGTTTAGTGAAATGCGGTCGATAGAGCCTCAGTCGGAACAAAAAGCCGCTTGATTCTCACGCGTGCGCCGTTCACGTGAGGTAGACAATTCTCTGTGGTTTCCAAAAGAGGATCTGTCACCTTTCTTGTAAATTGATAAGATGACTGACTCACACCACTCAGTTGGAGTTTGTTTTCTCTCCAACACAGGACCCAAGAGTTTCGTCAACTCCAAAACCGAGGATGAACCTTCACTCTTAATGTCGGTGGGAACAACCCAATTGGGCCAGAAGCCTTATACTTTGAGATAAATTATTTCCCTGGCGGTAGCAGAAAACAATTCAATGTAGGCGAGATTAGTCGATACTCTGCATAACTGCATCAGTGGTTTGCCATGAACGCTTACGAATGATTTCAAGCGAGCAACTTGGTATACGTGGTGGAAAACCAAAAACACTTTCATGTGATCTTGGTAAGAATAAACCGAGTGGTATAAAGTGGATGGATTTTTTTCCGCGACTTCAAATAACAAAATAATCACCCAAAAATGAAAATGAGAAGCTATGATCGCGATTCATACTTATGAAACTTCATATTTTAGAAAAAGAAGCCTGTCAAAAGTCGGTTCTTCAGGAAATGCTCTCAATATATTTTCTCTAGTCCACTGGACGACACAAATCACATCTGGGAAGCGAATCATTGGCGTTTATATATAAACCTGAACCAATCAGATTGTTCAGGCCGGCAAATTTAAAGTATTGTACGGACCAATCATAAAAATGCACTTGATGCAGTAAAACAAAACGACCAATTCAAACAACATTACAACACATACTTACTTTCTTTGCGTCCAGGTCGTCTAAATGATTCTGTACAAACTGCAGACTTGCATTCAAATCGGCTGTGTTGAATTCATAAGGAATATTCCATCCGAGCGGTCCATATTGACGTCGTTCTTGAACAGTGGTGTGAAGAAACGCGACAGCAAATACCATTGGTTTCCAGTGCGGCAGAGTATTAATGTCCAGATAATCCTTAATATTACAACAGAATACTATTAATCAATAGCGTTTGGGATAGGCGTTAAAATAAAAATTTCCTGATCAAATATCCTTAGTTTGATCAACTTTTGTGTTAAAAGTCCGTTCTTCAGGAAATGCTCTCGATATATTTTCTCTAGTCCACTGGACACGAATCACATTCGGGAAGGAATCGCAGGTGTTTATATATAACCCTGAATCAATCCCATTGTTCGACGGGCAAAATTAAAGTCTTACACGGACCAATCATAAAAACACAATTGATGCAGTAAAACAACGATCAATTCAAACAACACTCCAACACACTGTTTTGTTCGTAGTATGCGTACATTTACTGGAGATTTTGCTTTTTTCTATCAGTTTTGCATATTCTAAAAGCTGTATTTTCATTTGTTCACTTATGAGCTAATTTAACCGAAATTCTATCACCACCAGTTCAACCGGGTTGCTTTGAAGGACCCAGTCTATAATGCAACAGGCCGACCTGTGCTGCTGTACAGAGGGGCAGCTAGGTTAGTGGTTGTACAAACAAACTGTAGACCGCACTGGTTCCTGTTTTATTTTTATGTATTTCCTTTTGTTTTATTTTTCTCAAATTGTCAATTTATTACTCATTCGAATAAGTTCTNCGAATGAATCTAGTTAGCAAGCTTTTTCTCAGAGTAATCCGATTGGTGATCATTTTTAACACATCGGGACCAAATGATTTTAGGAGTGTCGAAAAATTTTTTTTATTGTAAAGCCTGCCTTGAGAAAGGTTACCCGGAACGTCGGCGAATATAATTCTCTACCAACATCGCTGTGTTAATAACACTATAACATTCAAACGAATTAACCTGTTCACCTTTCTATGCCTGAATTTAAAGACAACTGTGAAATATAAATTCATCGACCATCGCCATGACGTAACAGTTGGAGTAGTTCCTTGATCTTTTGTTGTGTATTATTCTTTGCTCTCGTGACTAGTGATGTGTTTCTGTTGGGGTTGTCTTTTCAAATTACTCTTTTCACGACGAGTTCATTCAGGAGTTCCGTGTGGTGTGGCCCTCATATTACAACCTTAATCCTCTAGTTTCAGTTCCCTTTATATCAGCATGAACTCTGTCCCCGCTTGTGCTCTCTATATTCGGTGGTTACTTTCGCTTGCCCACATACATACTACATGTGGGCTAAGATTTGAAACGTGTGTCACTTCAGTCTGACCATCGTAAGTTAAATAAATATACATACAACCGTCTTGCGAACAGGAGTGGTAGTGGTAGTCCGACAATAATAACGAAAAAGGGGTAACTCGGTTACAAATATGTTCAGTTCAGTTAAGTTTAAACAACCAGTAGGCATGCATTTCCTTGCGACTTTTTTGCTTGCTGTCTTTTGGCTGCCCATTTGGGTGAACAATAGGATGAAAACAGGAAGGTTGAATTAGGATCGAAGAGAATTGGGAAGTTCAGTAGACCAATGATACAGAGAAATTGAGAAGATGCACAAACGCCACTGTTACGACACCTAGTCATATCACTCAATGTGTCTAACCATTGGTTACGATCATCCCGAGGTCCCCAGCCAGGAAACCTAACCGGACCCATGTAACCCAGTCTCCTGGTTGGGGTTTTCATACCCTAATGCCAGGTCTTGGCTTGGCCACCCTTGACATTCTTCCACCCACTACCTGTCTCGACAAACATCGCTCGCCGTGGCAGCTTCTTTGATCACACGCCCCAAACAACGTAATCTTTTCAGGTTGATCTCTTGCTTCAGTGGACGAATGAGACTGCCTAAAACTCTACGCCTAACCTCAGAACTGCTCTTCCGGTTGCCCCACTAGATTCGCGCAATGCTGCGTAGACAGTGGTGTTGAAACAATGACAGTCTATCTTTATCCTGTTCTCTTAATGGCCAAGTTTCTACTCCATATAGGAGAACTGGCCGAACTGCTGCAGCATACACTAGAACCCTTCACAGACAGTCGGATGTCGCGACGGCGCCACAGATGTCTCAAGTTGACAAATGCCAATCGAGCCTTCTGTATGCGAATTGACACTTCATCCGTGATGCGTCCACCGGGTGAGATGTTGCTGCTCAGATAACAAAACTTGTCCACTTGCTCCATTACTTCCCAAGTTAGGGTGAGTCTGGGTGTTGGACCAACCCAATCTTGTAGTAGCATTTTACACTTTGAAGGTGCAAAACGCATACCGAACATGGCTACACTAGCACTCAAACTATCCAGAAAAGCTTGTAACTTACCTGGATCTTCACTTAGTAGCATAATGTCGTCTGCATACTCTAGCTCAGACAGCCTGTCACCTGGGAGTAGATCGATGCCACTATCCTCGCACGAGGATAGGGCTGTTTCCATAATCAGATCAATAACAAAGTTAAATAGAAAAGGGGAGAGAGCAACCCTGTCGAACACCATTTTCCGTGGTGAACTCGGCGAAAAAGTGCCTTAAGCTCGGACTCGGCTTCAGCTATGACTATAGAAGAATCTTAATATTGAAATAAGCTTCTCGGGCACAGCCTTCATGAAAAGGCAGCGCCAGAGTTTATAGTGGTCGACTGAGTCGAAAGCCGCTTTTAGATCCAGGAAGATAGAGATGGTGTGTCTAAGAAAAGAATTTCGGTGCTCCAGAGTTTGGCGAAGAGTAAAGATGTGGTCGATACAACCTCGACCAGGTCTAAAACCAGCCTGGTTCTCACGCGTGCACTCTTCCCGTGTGGCAGACAATTGATGGAGTATGATACCAGCGAGAAGTTTAGAGGCAATGTTGATTAAACTAATTGCTCTGTGGTTTTCACAAGAGGATCTGTCACCTTTCTTGTAAATCAGTATGATGACCAA